AGCCTAAGTCTTGCATTACTTTGGATGATGAGACTCTACCAAGAAGATTCCTAGGACTCGTAGAGGTTAAAAATATATGTCATTTACTTATTTAGGAGAAGTTTATTTATTTATTTTGAAAACAAAATACTATATGTAAAGATTTGAAAAGTTTAAAGTTTTTCACCATTATTATTATTATTATTATTATTATTATTATTATTATTATTATTATTATTATTATTATTATGATCCTCATCATCATCGTCATCATCCAATATTTCAAAATTAAAACTTTATTTGTGTTAAGAAAATAACGAGACAAAAACAAAACCAAGCTACTATCACCAAGAACTTGCTGAGGGTTGTACAAGATTTGAGTAGACAATAAGCACAAGTCCCCCCTATTCTGAACGCTAACAACAATAGTTCAATTGTGGAATAGTTCAGTTGCTACAAATTTGCATTCTTCAATAGCAAGCTAAACTCACTAGCAACTGAAGAATGGATAAGAATAATGGAGCAAATCTTCAAACATCTTTCATACACTGATGCTCAGAAAAGTATTATGTGCAGTCATATTGGTTGATGCAGCGAGCCACTGGTGGAAGTTAGTATTGCACACTAGAACAGAAGCAAAAAAAATCCACCATTTCTTCCACGCTACAACACCCATAGAATCCATCCAACCACAATCAGAAAACCATAGCGCATAAAATCCTTAAAACCACCGCACCAACAGGAAAAACAGATGCAAAAAAGGAAGGGGGAAAGAGGGAGAGATGACTAGCTTCGTGATGGGCTACCCCCACACCAACTCTAATCAACCGTACGTTGCTGCTTACGATGGTAAGGTGCTGGGGCATCACCCACGGTGGTCGATTCTTCGCCTATTGCCGACACACACGAGCTTCTTGAAGAATCACCGGAGCTTCTCTCAGATCGGCACTCGTCACGGCATCGAGCGTCCTACACCCGACGCTAGTCACGGCACTAGCATTTACCCCAATCAGATTTAGCAGAGCCAGTCCCCGTAGAGAGAAGGTAAAGAGAATGGGGATAGAGTAGATAGAGATTGGAGAGAATTAGGGTTTGGAATTGAATTAATTGATTGATAAAATATCCAATTAATACCTGATTTTTGATTAAATAAACTTCACACCTGTATTTTAAATTTGAAACTTTAAATACCTGGTTTTATGTAATTTCCTCTTATTTTAATTGGTAACTTCTTTAAAATTGGTTTGTGATTTAGATTTTTTTTATGAGACCCATGATTGGTCTAGGATAAAGGTTAACTATTAATTGTAATCCCACGTTGATTTGAATAAGGTTTAATGGTAATTCTAATTTGATTAAACACTACTTTTCATTCTTTAAATTAATATATTAGTTTTCCAATTCAATGAAACCGATTAACAAATTCGTCCACATGCGCGTCCTATGTCACCTATAATTGAATTTGATAATTATGATTGGATAGTTATACTTTACCTACATTCTGAGACCTATTCTGTCCAATTTTAATGGAACACACTACCTCTATTTCAACTGTTTCAAAACTCAATTATTCCAACTATAAACAAGGCCCCATTATTCACCAAAAAAAATAAATGGTACCCACAAATTTAACGCGGTGACAGTGAGATATAGGAAAAGAATTAAGAACGTGAATTCACATTTCTTTCAAAAAATCTTCTGATCTAACAAGTTAAAAGATTTTGTGCAAGTAGTTTGTTTTTATAAATTTTTATATTTAGTAATTTATTTATGAATTGCCAATGGACATTCGACTTCGATCTATCGAAATGTGAAATATATTGGATTTTTTTATAACAAAATGTGAAATCTTTCAAGAATTCAAAATACTACTGATGGGTGTGTCGCTTGGTCATCTATATACTCCATAAGAAATGTGGTATGAATTATTTATTTTATTGTTATATAATTGTCTAGGAAAACCGTACGTACTTTACTGTGTATTTTTAAATAGTTACTCTCACAATAATTTTTTAGATTAATTCGGATCGATTGGATATATAGCATGATGGTGATACACGATGCTAAAAGGATTCGAAAAACAAGAGCCATTAAGTATTATTATTATTATTATTATTTATCTTTCAATTGATTAGTTAGTTTTCATTTACGTTCAAGGACTTGTCTATTTAATAGTTAATTGATTATGATTGTTTTAAAGTTACAATTTTCATGTGTTTTTAAGTTAGGTTTATGAATATTCCAATTATTTTATCGTTTCGCCTTTAATACAAACAAAGAAAAGTGAATTTTTGGTGATAGTCCAATATTTATGAAATTTTTTGGTGTTACAGCTAGCCTGTCGCTGCGACAGGATTGTACGGTCCAGACTTGTTTTACATTTTGACTCTTTTTGGACTCCTATTCATCTACTACAATTTGATTTCTAAGGTTTTATATATATATATATAAAACGTTCAATATTTTGAGAGTTAGAGAATTTAGATTTTAATCGAGAATATTGAGATTTTAATATTATAAATACAATTACTATTGATTGTAGTGAATTTCTCCTCATTTGTCTGTGAGTTTTCCTATTTGGATTTCCACATAAATTTTGGTGTTTTTTATTTTGTTTTTATTTATTTCATTATTGTCATTATTTTGCGATCACTTCATAACACTATTAGGACATGTTTGATTGGTCCATTTTCCATGGTCAAATTCCATTTCCCGCCATTTTTATGTGTTTGATTGTAAGAAATTTCCATGGAATTTGTTTTCCAACTTTCCTCCACACGTGTGCTATTTCCATGGTTTTGTGGAAAATCAATTGAGAATTGGTTTTGTAGCCCTTTTTTTTTTTTTTTCCTTTTTGCAATTGGGACAAATTCTAGCTCCAATTGTAACAAATTTTGACCATTTAGTTGACAATTTTACAAATTGTCCCTTTAATTGACAATTTTCATGAAAAATAAAATCAAATAAACACCAACAGATAGAAAATTTCAATATTTTTTATGTGAAAAATTATACTAATTAAACACATTAATTGACAATTGTCAGGAAAATAAATTCTAGGCAATTCAATTCCCTGAAATTCATTTTCTTTTCACCCAAATTCCATCATTGTAATCAAACGAATCCTTAGAGATTGATCTACGAAAAATTAGAAGCTTGAACATTGAAGATTGAAAGTAGAAAAGTACAAAGCAAACAACGAAACAGTGGTGGTTAAATCCAAAGCATCAAGCAAGTTGTAAATTTAGTGGGGTATTCTAGGAATTATAAGTTAGTTTCATGGAATATTTCAAACAAAACAAAAAGAAAAAAAAAAACAAAAAAGAAACAAGTTGCATCAACTTCCAGCTAATATTTAATTTTTTTTATTAGCCTTACATTTGGAGGGAATAATTATTGTAAAGTTCAACGAAGCATACGCGTATGTTATTTCGTTGTCAACTGGTAAGATAACAACGGGTCAACCATGGTGACTTAACCGGTCATTTTCTCAATAATTGATCATTATTTTATAATATAAAAATATTGAATTAACAATGACTTCAGCAGCCAAAATATCTTGGTCCTTTCCTCACCCAATTGCATGTATTATTTGAATGCGTAGACTTAGCCTCCCTTTCGACACCATTAAATTTAATTATATTTTTCTCATCCTTATTTTTAATCACACAATGTTTTATAAAATAATATTACACGTAAATCGAAATTTTTTTCTTTTTCAATCACTCATTTTTCAAAAAAGTACTATTCCACCCATTTTCGCTTTAAAAAAATGGGGCGGGCCTTAGACTTCGGCATGTATGTGTGTGTATACATATACACACATTCTTAGAATTGTCATCACATTTTTTTATAATAAAATCTATCTCTCTGTAATAATGTGTATCATATGTATGTATGTTTACTTGGATATTTCTTTCTGAACCTATCCACTAGATGGGATATATAGTTTGGACAACAACACGGTCGTGGATAATACCGATGTTTTAAATTTGCATAGTTATTCACATAAATATTTTAGTTCAATTTTATTTTTCATCTGTGTTATTAACAAAAGGGGCCACTTATAGCTCTTGAGACCATGTTTAAGCTAAGATCAAAATCTTATATTTAGTAGATTTTGATAAATATTTATATGGTTGAAAAGTTGTGGATTCCATGAAATATATAAAAATTAATTATTGACTTTGACTTATATTTTAATCAACTTTTTTAATTGAACCAAACAGGGGCTAGATAATTAAAAAAATCTATGCGTGTGCTTGGGAGCGATTCTTTCCAAATTATAATGAGAAATTCTTCCGTTATCTACCAGAAATGGGACCTACAATGTTGCAAATTTTTTTTATTGCACCGTCCAGTCAATTTGGAATTTTAGTAAAAAGACCATGATGTTTCTATATTTTTGAAATTCCACACCATTACAAGGACATTTTTGACATTTTAAATACTAGGTGAAAGACAGCTGCAATTTTTGTCCCCTTTTTTGTTAATTTTTCTTACAGACGTGGGGCCCATTTATCATGTATACGGTCAAAATTTTCATTAAAATTTGAGTGAAATCGCTCCCAAACACACGCTATATCTTGCTAATATTTTGGCCTTAGTAATAAGTTGAATAACTATCGATAGAATGGAAAGGGCAAGATGGGTATTTATCATTATGTGCTTGTTTAGTAGAGATTTTGTTGATTGATTTTTTGACCGTTAGAGATAAAGTGAGTCGTACCTGTGAGAGAATAATTCGAAAATGATAACTGAAATAGTCAAATAACGGTCAAAAAATTGATTTTAGTTGGATTTTAAGCTGTAGCAAATATGCTCTATATTTGTAAAATTTACAAACATAAAAAAAAAAATGCAGAAATTATTTTATTCAAACATCAACCCAACGAACTAAAACACAAACCTTGTTTTGGATATTCCTTTGATGTCCTCATAATTCTCTATAAATACCTGATTCATTCTCTTAGAGAATTCAATCTTCACTTCAGATTAACTGTCCTTAACATTTTATAATAATGGATAGCCAAAGCAGCCACATGATGATCAGTGAGGCCGATGCATTGACACTTTCGGATCATTCCCGTGTTGATCAGGCAGCCGGAAACACGAAAGCCAAGATCAAGCGCTCTGATTTCCCCAAGGATTTTGTCTTTGGTTCTGCCACGTCGGCTTATCAGGTATGTCAAGTATATGCGACGAAAATGCTAAAACGATCTGAATATATTTAAATCTTGAAGAACCATTTACCATTATAAACTAAAAAAGCTTGCAAATTGCTTGTGTTCTGGTTGATTTGCTTTCTTTGCCATGTATTTTAGGTTGAAGGCGCTTGGAACACAGGTGGAAAAGGCTTGATCCTTTCACATGCACAAGCTGTTGACATTTATAGGCAAAGATATCAGGTAACATTTCTCATTTATTAACATTACGAGGGAAACCTATACAATTTTTTTTGTGATGTTTAGTTTAAACAAATACATATGAACAGTCACATCAAGACGGAAAGATAGGAGTAACGAATGTTTCACAGTGGTTTGAGCCACTCAATGACACCAAAGACGATAAGGAGGCTGCTTCAAGGGGAATCGATTTTATGTTGGGATGGTAAATGGATTTCTCATTTCATCCTTTTACAAGAAGCCAGTGTACTTAATATTCCCTAAACTTAACATGCCATGCGATTTTAACTTCTACATTGTCGATTTTTATCACGTAGTGTAAAATTGGTTGGGGTTAAAATCTCACTTTTGAAGGTTGAAGAACCTTTTCAAACTTGGGGAGTCCCCAAGTATTCATTGTGGAAACATTGTAACATTTGTTGGAAGTGTAATTATTTTTATAGAATATTAGTCTTAATTAAATTGAATTTTATGGATCACAAGTCTCAGTAACTCTCTTTTCCATTTTGTAAGGTTTGTAGCGCCGATAGTAACCGGTGATTACCCACCAACTATGAGGGAAAGAGTTGGAGAACGTCTGCCTAAATTTTCACCTATACAAAAGAACGTGGTGAAGGGATCCTATGATTTTTTAGGCATAAATTATTACACTTCTATTTATGCTAGCAATTCACCTAGGAAACCTTGTACAAACCCGAGTTATGAAACCGACCAGGAAATTTCATTATCAGGTAAGTATAAGGACTTAGTTCAAGAAAAATTATATATTCAGCTTATCAAAAGATGCTCACTCTCTCAATTTTTGTAGATAAACGTAACGGGGAGCTGATTGGTCCAAAGGTAATTCTTTCAACTTTGGCTTTTCTTGGAAAGAAAATAGAAAAATGTTTAATTAATTCCAACAGTTATTCTATATCATATTTTCGTACGAGATGGAGTAATTTCAACCATTTATGCTAGTGGACTATATTCTCATAATCAACCCACTAGATTAAATAACTATATATTTTTTTTCAAAGTGTATGGAATCTTACCATTTGTTGTTAATGTCAGGGCGGTTCGGATTGGTTGAACATTGTTCCATATGGAATTTACAAGTTATTGGTTCATATAAAGAAAACATATAATAATCCCATCATTCACATTACAGAGAATGGTAAATATATAGTATGTTTATTGTCCTTTTTTTCCCCTAAAAATCAGAAATGTGTAGTAATATTTACTAATTTAATGTGATTTATTGGATGACTTACTTTTTGTAGGGGTGGATGAAGTGAACAATACGGAAGCAACAGTTTCACAAGCTCGGTTTGATGAGACAAGAATGAAATATCATGTAGATCATCTCCTTTACGTTAAAAAAGCTATGCAGTAAGTGGTCATTCATGTAATTGTTTGTCTAATTAAACAATGAAACTGACTAACTATTTCTTTAAAAATATATATATATTTGTCCCTCAAGATTTTTTTTTTTTTGGCTTTTCAGGGAAGGAGTGCAAGTCAAGTCTTACTACATATGGTCAATGTTCGACAATTTTGAATGGGCCGCGGGATATAGTGTTAGATTTGGCATTTTTTATGTAGATTATGTTAATGGACATTTGACAAGATTTCCAAAAGCTTCTGCTATATGGTTAATGAATTTCCTGAACAAAAAGCAAAATACATTGAAGAGTCAAGATCAAGAGAAGAAGAGTACGGATTTTGAAAAGCCAAGAAGAAGTGGAGTGTAAAATTCTCGTGTTTCATTTTAGTTGTTATGTTCATTCACGAATTCACATGCTTTCCTCTTTTTTCCTCTTCTTCTGGCCTTCATGTTTCTACTTTCCACTCTTTATATTCAATAAATTGACTTCTCATGTGTTTTTCTATTTATTTTTAACTCCATTTCTATTACTCACAGAATGAAGTAGAAAACACAATGCTTTGACCAATGAAAGAAATAAAGAAAAATTAAACTAGTCTATCCGATCAATAGTTAAGAAAAATAAATTTTCCATTGAAAATTATGCGCGCTCACGTCATAGTGATGGCACTGGCAAGGTGGAGGGTAGTACTCCATATCACCTGCTACGTTGGCCCTGCATCGATCTTCAATTATAGTCGAGCAAGCCACACCAGGCAATCTCATTAATTATTGCCTTTTGTTTTTAATATTAAATTTAAATACAATTAATTCTTTTTTTTGGAAGAAAAAACACTAAGATGAAAATAAAAAGAATAAAACAAAACTAGACCATTCATTATCTAACACAATGGTAGTCTTTCGATGCCTATAAATAAAAAATGGGTAATTAGTACAAAACGTCTTTACCTTTCAATGTTATTGTGTAAAATATTCATACCTTTCTTTTTTTAACATTTCGCCCCTATTTTCGCCTTTCATTGAGGAAAATATATTTTTCATCCAATTTCTTGATAAAAAAAAATGTAAAATAACAAATATACCCTCCTATTTGCTAAAACAAAAAGAAAAGAAAAATTAAAGAATAAATTATAATTATACTCCCAAACTTTTTTAAAAAATTCAAATGAATCCAAATAAATTATAAAAAGGCGATTAGCATAAAATGTCTCTACTTTCAATATTATTGCGCAAAACGTTCATACATTTCATTTTTTGGTATTTTTGCCCTTATTTTCACATTTTATTGTTGAAATAATCATTTTTATCCTTTTTTTCAATTGGAAGCTTTAAAATAACGATATACCCTCTTATTTAAATAAGACAAAAATAAAGAACAAATTACAATTATACTCCTGAATTTTTCAAAAAAATACAAATAAATATCAAATAAATAATTAAAAAAATTTAAAATGTAATGACGTTTTGTGCTAAAACATCAGTATAGTCAGTAACAAGTGCACTATGGCCAATATTTTTGTGGATCCGACCTATTCACTACATCAACTTAGGAATCCACAATGTGTCCCTTTTTAGATGCTAAACAACACAAAGAACTTAAACCAGTTTTATAAGTAGAAAATTAGGTATGGCCTCTATATATAGTCTTCGCCTTGCCGATTTGCAATCCTCGGGCAATCAGGTAATTCCTAACACAATCGTAAACCTGCACTGGATCCTTAAACACCATATCCTTGACCATCTAGAGTGTCTGTGGAGCCTTACTAGCGTATATCTGTCCAAATTTGAATAATGTCAACGTTATCATCTATTTTCAAATGTCATTTTTTAGTATTCACAGTCATATTTCTCTTACTTTTATCTTGCTCTAATTTTCAGGCTACGCACGTTTGCTCCTCTCATTTTCATGCATATGTATGCATGAGCACATGTATAACAATATCATTTATTCATATCCTAGCTCGGAGACTCCAGTCATGGGACAAAGACAACAACATAGAAATAACAGTACATCTCGTGTTACCATGTATGAACAATTTATAATATAAATACAATGTTTTGAATTATAGTTGAATAATTACTTATCTTTATACTTGATTATTTTAGCGCTAAAATTGTCATCTGTGTGAAGGACAAATTCACACGTATAGTTCCTGTTTGATTTCCCTAAAAATCAAATTTTTTATAAATTTTTATAAAAGTTGATGAAATGTGTGAATAAAAAGTTAAGGGCCTATTCGGTAGTAATTATGAAAATTGATTTTTTGTTTGTTAGAAAGAAAAGTTGATCACACATGTAAGTAAAGAAGTTAAAAATGATAGCTGAAAATAGTGAAGTAACGGTTAAAAATTATTTTTTTGATGTGAAAAACTGCTACCAAACGGGGGCTAAATAAAATTGTGAATCCCAAAAAATACGAGATGAAAAATTAATTATTGAGTTTGGCTTAAATTTTATTAACTTTTTTACCTAAACCATATAAAAACATCATAATAATGTTGGCATCTGACTGCATGGACAATAACACAATTTAACATCATACGTAGAATAGTGTAAACATGTGACAATATTTCCCTAAAATGAGCGACTAAAGTGTCTAGATCTTTTCGCATATTTATTTTAAATTATTAAAAGGTTTAATTTGATTCAAATCCCATATAAAATACAGAAATCCAAACCATTAAAACCGCATAGTTGAACAATAAACATGGCACCAAATCAATTATATATCTTAAACAGTTGATTAGTGGTTTGACGATTTTTATTAGAACCCTTAGATTTCAGTACATAAGTGAAGAACAAATATTACAAAATTAAGTGACTAATTATTTATATTTCAAATTTCAGGGACTATTTGTAAACAAGCACGTAATTCAGGAGAGTCAGTTCTTAGCCGAAATATAGTTGTACTGCGGGTAACTGACGCGTTCTTCAATAGAATTATTCATTCTCTCCGCCACCCTCTACCCTAAGACCTGAATCCTTCGAGTCCAGTATATCCTCAAAGATGGAGGGTTGGGACCCCACAACAAAATCGACGCTGACCCAAATCCCGTTGTTGTCTGTAAAGGCTGGCCCACGCGATGGCGCAGCTTGGACGCAGCGTTTGAAGGAGGAGTATAAGGCTCTGATCGCCTATACTTCAATGAACAAGGCCAAGGACAACGACTGGTTTCGGATCTCCGCTGCCAATCCGGAGGGGATCCGTTGGACTGGCAAGTGCTGGTACATTCACAATCTCCTCAAGTACGAGTTTGATTTGCAGTTCGATATCCCTGTCACTTACCCAGCCACCGCTCCTGAACTGGAGTTGCCACAGCTAGATGGAAAGACGCAAAAGGTTTTTTTTTTATTTTGATTTTTTCATTTTTGGGAATTGATTTTTTTATTATTTTTTTTATAATTTTATTTTTATTTTTTATTTTGGGAAATTTATGTAGATGTATCGTGGTGGGAAGATATGCTTGACGGTGCATTTCAAGCCACTATGGGCGAAAAATTGGTAACTATTTGCTTTGATTTTTATTTTAATTACGAGTTTTCGATTGAATAGTTAGATTTCGTGGTATCTTATGAAGTTTTATTATGTTGTACTGTTTATGCTGATCGAATTTGGGTTGTTACGGATATACCTTTGTGAAACTCATTTCAGGAAAAAGATTGATGTCAATTCATTTGTTGTCCATAATTAGATTAGTATGTAATGGAGAAAGCTCAAACTTTGCAAGTTTTTCTTTGTTAATTTTTAATTTAAAATGGGCAGGATGCTTTTCTGTTTATTGTTTTAGGTAGGAACAGTTAGGCCATCTAGATAACTAGAATGAAGATTTATCGATCAGAAACAAACTGGAGGGGGGAAAACGTGAAGGAATACGTTGTATTTTTTCTTGCCTCGAAAACTAGATCCTTGCCAAGATTTGGGAAAATTACCTAAAAGCCCAAACTTTCTTATACGAAGACTCTGAAGCAATCTATGCTTGTCTAAAAACCTCAGGGCGTAACACTGTCAAAACTAACCTGCATGTGGGTTCAATTATCCATGCTAGTTTATTTGTCAATTGAAGTACATATAACATTTTTCTGTATTGAGAACTAGCTGCGAAGTAAAAAGATCGTAATTTTAAAAAATATTAAAAAAGATAAAAGGGTGATAATACTTGGTGTGAGAAAGCTAGGTTTTAAGGAAAAAATAAAAGAATTATCTCTTCAAATCTTTTTGCTCCTGCTGCTTCGCCCCAAAAGAGAGCTACAAGATAGCTATTAAAATCTTGTAAAATTTGTATTAGTATGTTTGTAAACCTGATCTCTTCTTCCTAGGTGTTGAAGGTCTTATTTACAATTGGACCTGAGCGGTTTTGACATAGTTGTATTCTAGCATTTAGAAAGGTTTAAAAACAAACCATTACAAAGGTACGAACCTGTATTTTAAAGCAAATAACTAAAATTAACAGGTTTAATGAAGTCTATTTACTAGGTGATGTCGAAGAACACCTATCAATTTATTTTTGAAGGTATAACATTTTGTTTAAGAAATATTAGAAAAACCGATCGGATACCAGGGCATTTTACCTTTGTGACTAGGGATGACCCTCTTAGCATCTTAGTTATAAGCCTCAATAGAAACCAATATGCAATAATGTTTGAAAAGGCTTAAATGGGTAATGAGGCGAACATAAGCCTCGAAGCTGATTGAGGCATAAGCCAAAAATTACCTGTCGCAGTTTCTTGGAACACACCACCTGCACCAGTTTCCGGTTGCCGGAGTCTTGTGGGAGAAGCTTCTTTCTATCTTGGGAATTGGGTGAAGGCGTGTAGGAGGGAGTTGCTGATCCTTTTTTATGTTTTGTCTTGGGTGTGGAATGTGTTTTGATTTAATATTTAGTTAGGTTTAGACGTTTAGTGAAAATAAGTGTGGTTGGCCCACCTAAACTTCAACTTTCAAAACTTCCTTTTTAAACGTGATAAATACAAAACCACGAGAATAGATCATGAAGTTTTTAAGTATCAATGCCCTGAGCAAATGATCTTGCTTCTCTTTGGTACATAATCCTAACAATACACGATAAGTCAAATTTTAGAAATACATAAAGATAGTTATCTGAACCAAAACGGGTTAGTTTATTATTGTCCAACCATTGGTATAGCAGATCCTAAGAGAGAAATAGGTTACTAAAATGCTTTTATATTTCTTTGCTTATGGTAAGAAACGAAGAACAAAGTTTATAAGTTTATAAGTTTATAATTTGCATAATTTAAATATAAATGCTCCTATTTAATTCATAATTGCATATCAGTTATCTTCTGTATTTGCAAATGAAGAGTTAAATACGTTTATTCATTACACAAACCACATATCTAAAGAAATCAGGATGAATGGTGCCAATATGTTATGAGCTAAGGTAAATTTTACATGCTTTCATATTCAAAGTTTCCTGATCAAGATGTCTAATACGCTCCATTTTAAAACTAAAGCTCTCATGTTTCTTGTGTTGATTGTCATACTGGATTTTGCTTTGCCAGTCCTAGGTTTGGAATAGCACATGCACTATGTCTGGGCCTTGCACCATGGCTTGCTGCAGAAATCCCAATTCTTGTCGATTCAGGCATGATTAAGCACAAAGACGATGCGTCATCATCCAATGAATCTTGAAGACTATTCTCTGAGTTTTAGGGGCAAATATAATAATGTTTTAATTTTTTCAAATTTTGTCACGAGCAACTCAGCCCATGATGTATAACCTTTGGAAAATTCGCTGTTAATTATGTCTGAAGTTGTAATTTTATCATATATAGGTGGAAATATATTTTGGGCTGATGGTTAAATTATACATCTGGCGAAGCTTCTTGCAGTTTCAGTTTGAAGTATGTATGTAATGCGAAAGCCTTGCAAATTTGATGTTTTAGAGTGGATTTTTGCGTATTGTTCTATGACTAATCGTTGTAACATGGAACCATATCTGTGTCGATATGTACACGCTGCTCTCTGATGCCTCCTTATGGAAGTGACGTTAAAATTGGACATTATGTTTGACTACAATCTAAATTGGTACCATTTCTGATTTCTCGTCAAAACATAATACTCCATAGCAACATTGAGATGATGATATTAGTGCTTAGAAATATCTCAAATCTCAAGGCTATTTGGTCATTAAAATGACAAATGTGATCGTTATCTATCACATTAAGTCATTATATTTGAATTTCTATTTTTCGTGTGGGGTTTATAACGGTTATATTTTTTATTCTCATTTTTACATTAATGGGAAACAAATGAGACCTAATGTTGTGATTTGAGCATGGACAACAAATATAATATGTTGGGGGGATTTTTCTATTTGGCCTATTACTATTCCTTTTCATGGAAAAGTCTATATTGTCCATAATGAAATGATTCTTTTTATATTGCAACATTTATCGTAATATGACAATCTATCATTTTTCTTTTAAAGATGTATATTCTAAATATTCTTTTAAATGTCTAATATTTAACCTGTTATTTATCAGTTTTAAATAAAATCTAAGTGTTATCCTGTATCTAAAATGTTTAACCTTTTGAGGTAATCTATTTGATATAGGTTTTCTCATTTTATCTTATATTTATTATATTTTGAATTTTAGCATATAAATCCATTCTTTGATCAAGTAGATTAGAATAATCTGTAACATACTGTTCATATTTTTCATTTAGTATATTATATTCTTTAGAAGATACATTCATATTTTTTAATTGAGAAATAATATTTTTTATTTCTTTTAACATTTTTTCTGACAAATTATCTAATCATTCATCTGTATATCTTGACATTAATACAAATAATCATCAAATCATACAATTAATCCCTTTGATTCTCTAAGATCTAAAAAGATTCATTTTAATTTGAGCAAAAAATTAATAGTTTTAACTTAGTTTTGATCTGGATCTTTATTCTTAGAATCAAGTGACTTTTGAGCTCTGAATATGTAAACTGCTTCCTTCAACGGCCTCTTACTTTTACGGAATTTTTACTATTTCAGTTTCTTGCTCTCACTGTATCAACTCTAAAGAATAAAATTCTAGACTTCTGTTAAAGAAACTCTCTTTTTTTGCTAAAATAAGAAGAAAACTTTCTATTCGATCCTTCAAGAATCTATGGGAATAAAAATTTAAAAACTCATATTGATATCAAAATATGGAAATTTTATTTCTATCAGAATTTATACAAGAAATCTATTTGGTATACAAGGATTTTCAGAAAAATTGGTTTTTCAAACTGAGAATGACCTAAGAGTAGCTATTGATTACAATTCGAGATTTTAAGATGTCTTTCATCTATTACAATGCATAGATTTATACAAATATATGAGACTCTATTATTGATCTATTACATCATCCAGTGTGTCAGCAAAGGCACACGTGCCTTTCTATTATTGTCCTCCTTGGATCTACATTTTCACATGCAGAATCTAATTTTTATTAAAGGAGCTTCTATTATTGTCCTACTTTATTCATGTCTCCACATACTTTTTTAACTTTTTATCCAAAAATCATCTTTCTCTATTATTGTCATCTATCTTTTATATCTTCACATGCAGTTGGAGCACTCCCTTAGTTGGCAGGATTCTTTTATAGTGGTAGGACATCTTTGAAATTGATGTATTTTGAATCTTGTAATGTAGTCCTTTAAAATTTCTGATTTTCCACGTCCTCCATTTGATATTAGCATCCAGTTTTTATATTGACACGAGCATGTGAATTTTTTATCAAACAAATTTTTAGTAATATTGTATATGACTTTAATTCCAAGTGCTCTTCTATGTCTAATCCATGACTTTGTCACTGTTGGAACTTTTCTATCATTCTCCACTACATCTATTTGGAAGTTGGCTACAACATATCCAATTGAGATTATGTGTTCAACTGGATAATAAATAATTTCATCATATTTAGGACTTATTGAATATAATTTCAAATATATTTTTCGTTCCTTGGTAAATCTTGATACTTCTTTCATGAATATATCTTCAAATTTCGAATTTCAATCAAATCTTTTCCTGGATATATTAAATCCATAAATTCATAGTCTGCCATAATCTTTATAAACGAAGGATCTCCTCCTTCCATGACTGTTATTCTGGGATAAACATTATTTCCCGAAAAGATGAAATATGAATCACTTATTTTTATTTCATAAGCAATTCTGACTATTTTAGCATACTCTTCTTCTTTTGGATCTAAAGGATTGTATCATCCTGGTCTATGATACTCATAGTTTTGGAATATCTTTTATCTCCATGTATCATAATTTTTTTGTTGATGATACTGAAATGGAATCTCCTTTTTATCAATTGGTATGTTGTCACGTCTGGGTCCACTGCTGCTTCCAGCTGTTCCTGTTTGGTATTGAATTGGAAAATTCATTAGAAAATTATTAACTCCTTTAATATAAACTATATCAAAATTATAAAATGCTAAATAAGCTTGCCATCCATGGAGCCTTCTATATTGAGGTTCTGATGGTAGTTTATTCCTGACTAATCTACAACTTGAGATTTATCAGTCTCAACAGTAAATTTTTTGGATAATAAGAATAATGAAAAGTTTTTTATTCCTCTAATAATTGCTAGTAATTATTTCTCATGAGTGATATAATTTATTTCTGTTTGATTAAAAGTTCTACTTGAATATCTACAAATCTCATTTAAATCTATTTTTAATATTACTGTCTAATATTTATCCGAGACATCAGTGTTAACAATCAAATTATCTTTTTCATCTGATAATCTTAATTTTGGTAATTTTTTACATTCTTCTTTTGATGATTTAACTATTTCTGTATGTTTTTCATTCCATTCTTTAGTATTTGTTTTTATAAATAAAATTTGTATTTTATGTTTTTTCTTCGAAAGATTTTCAATAAATCCTTCTGCATAATTTAAACATCTTAGGAATTTTTGTATTTGTTCTTTGGATTCTAATTTATTTGGAAAACTTTCTACATTTTTAGATATATGAATTTGTAGTTTTATTCCTCTTTTATCTATTGATAATCCAATAAAATCTATCTCTTGTTTTTCTATTATAGATTTCTTTTTAGAAAGTACAATTCCTTCTTTTTTACATTCATTTATGAATTGTAATAAATGATTTTTATGTTCTTCTTTACTATTAGAACATATTCGTATGTCATCTATATAAATAATTAGAAATTCATTAAGCTTTTTAAATATATTATCCATTTTTCTTTGATATATTTGTGGTACATTTGTTAATCCAAATGACATTACTAATCATTCATATTTTTCTTGAGGTGTACTAAATGCAGTATATTGTATTCTATCATCTTCCATTTTTATTTGTCAAAATCCCGATTTACAATCAAATTTAGAATAATGTTGTTTTCCTTTTATAAGATTTATTAAAATTTCTTTATTTGGTAAAAAATATCCATCAAATTTGATATATTTATTTAACATTTTATAATTTATGATCATTCTAGCTTTTCCTCTAACATATTCTGAATGTTTTATAACCATAAAGGTTGGACTACTATGAGGTCCGTTACTTAGTCTAATAAGTTTCTGTTCTAACAATTCTTTTATTTGATTTTTGAATTCTTATGTATTTTCTATAGTATACATCATTGGTTTAACTCTTATTATAATATTTTCTGTTAATTCTATTTTGACTTTAAGGTGATGTGGTTTTCAATATAATAATGAATTTTCTCCATAAACTTTTTCTAATTGTTCAATAATTTTTTCTATACTCATTTCTATTCCCTTTTTAGTACTTTCTTATACAATATCCTTTTATTTTTTATTTCATTAAATATGATTGTTTTTTTCTCTTATTTATAACCACGCTGGGCTAGCTAAACTCTATAAGGTCTAAATTCTCTTAAAATTTTTAATAAGTGTCCACAAGATGTTTGTAGCGTTATCTTTTAATTATTTTGTTTATAATATTGAGATTGTTGTATAAAGTCATTTCCTAATAATATATCACATTCTAATTTATCATATTTATATACTTTATTTATTGTAACTTGTTTACTTCCACGTATTATATTAACTTTATCGGCACTATTAATTATTTCAGTGTTTTCTCCTGTGACTCCAATTATTTTTTTATTACTAATATTATTCCATGATTTTATCAGAAAACTTTTAAATATTGTTATATCACTTCCTGTGTCTATTAAAACACAAATTGTTATGTTTGTTTCTACAATAGTAACTTGTATATATATAGCCAATGAAAAACTTATCTGATTATTCATTTAGTTTATTTTTACACAATATAGTTTGTCCATTATGAACTATATATAATCCTTCTCTTTTTATACTATAATCTTCTAATCCATTTAGAAAATTCATTCCTAAAGGTATATGAGGGTTTATATCCATACTGTTATCTATATAACATGTTACTAAAAGATTTATTTCTCCTATTTTTATTGGTACTTTTACTTCTAATTCTAAAATATGCATTTGTCCATCAAAATTTACATATCTATATGGATCAATTTTACGAGTTATTAGAACTTTATTTTTATTGAAGTTATATGACATTCACTAGCTCCTGTATCTATTAGTATTTTGGTCCATTTATAAATTCTTTTCCATTATAATATTCTCCTTTTATTTTCATATTTCCAGCATTCCTATATAGTTTCACTTCTTTTATATTATTAAATTCTTCTAACTGATTTTTATTATATATTCTAAGACTTTTTGATCTTTTAATTAATTTTCCATCCTTAAATGTTATATTATTAGAACATTCTCTTTCATTTAATTCTGTTATTTCAGATTTATTTTTTGTTATACTAAATTCATATTCTTCCGGAATTAAACTTATTTGTTTATTTGGTTCTATTATTTTACTAACATCCTTACATTTTTTATGTACTTTAATATATGGTTTATTGGAATAAATATTTTCATAATTAGATT